TCATATGAGTCCTGATTTGATTATGCATTGATAAAACTGCGAGGCATGCCATTCCATGCAAAAAAAGCCAAATGTTATTGAGGTGGCTGTGGTTGTTGGGGCAATTTGGTTTGTGCGCTGCTGACTAACTTTCATACCAGAAAGGTTGGCTAACACACTGCAGTTGTTTCCAGTTGCTGGGTTACAAATGACTGCCTATATTGTTGTAAGATACATGCCGGTCTAAGCCTAAATGAGTGTAGAGGAGGTTGGTTATAATCAATGCTTAGAATCCAACACAAGAAATCCCTGTTGAGCCTTGTTTTCCTTGGTCTAATTCATCCTTGATTGAAGGAAAAACCTAAATACATGCAGCTTAGACATTTGCATCATAAACAAAACAGCAGAAATTCACTAACACACATTTTCCAGTTGACACAAGGAGCTGCTTGGGTTCCTATGTCCCCGAGTGTCTGGACTCCTGATTGCTATGCGCACACGTCTCAGTGGAAGGTGGCAGAACAAATTGCCATCATCTGAAATTTGTGTGTGTGTGTGTGCATGTTTGTGTGTGCATGCATGTAAGAGTGTATATGTGTGTGTGTGTGTGTGTGTGTGTGTGTGTGTGACCTTGACATATTGCTAATCCATTGAAGGAGAAAGACTTGACCCGATTGCTGCAGGGCCAAAGAGCATGACTGACACTTCATGCACATTTGTGTGTACGTCTGTGTTTCGCTTACCCCTGTGTACGTGCCTGCAATGCTGTGCATGGCTGAGTGTGACAACCTGTGTGTGTGTATGTGTGTGTGTGTGTGTTAATTTCACCTGCTTTATAAACTTGAATTAAGCTCCCTGCACCACCCATAACTCAGCTAAAGTGCCCTTCTCCAAAAGACCAACAAATCTCTCAGATTTAATATCTCTGATTGTGTATTTGACACTTTTACAGCCTCAACACTGATTGCCATCATCCAGCTACAAACTGCGTATTTAGTTAATGCCTTGAAGTGTTAATTCTACAGTTATTAAAACAGCCTGAAGATGCTGGAGAATGAGAAAGAGGACAAAAAGAGAGCACGAGTGACAGAACCAAACAATAGCCACATTATGAGCAAAGGAAAAACTGAAAGAGGAGGAGACAATGGGAAATAAGAAAATGAGTGGGAAGAGGAGATGGGAATGCAGGAGAGAAATGCTGAATTGCTATTGCATGGTGCGGTAGAAAAGACACTTTGCTCAGCAAGCTCTAGCTGCCAGGAAGCATTTTAATCACAACAGTAGATCCAAATAGGAGCCGAAAGCGGGGTAGGTCAGGAGGTTGGGTCGATTTGAAGTAAAAGGTTATCGCAAGAGGGGGCTGAGTGTAATCAGATCTGGTTAAGGGAAAAATCACTGTTATAACGGTAAGAGAGAAAGTGAAGGACGGAGGGACAGACAAAGTCAGATGGAAAATACATACTACACAGAAAAAAGAAAGGTAGAGAGGAGAGTGATCCGAAGAGAGAGAGAGAGAGAGAGAGAGAGAGAGAGAGAGAGAGAGAGAGAGAGAGAGAGAGTAAAGTAAAAGAGATGCAGGATTTCTATCATCTTCCCCTTTTCTGGTCCTTCGCACCTTCTTAGAGGCATCCTCCATCATCATCCCTCCACCTAACCTCCAGCAGAGGTCTTACGTGTGTGAAATACTATATACCCTGTGTGAAGAAGTTGACTGAAAAAAGAGGGAAACATGATACAAGAAAGGTAGTATGCAAGTTTGCTTTTGATGTGTACAACTAGAAAAAAATTTAAAAATTGTCCTTGAACAGTCCTAATTATGTCCAATTATAGAATTATTTCAGTTTCTCAGAAATGCAAAGTCATTTCAGCAACATGTTAGTATAAATGGTGGTAGCAGAAGTAGAGGATTCCGTAATGAGGCAGACAAAAACAAAAAAAAACTAAACAAAAGTAGGCTAACTAAAAATAAAAACTATATAAAACAGGACAATTAAGGGGGAAACTGCGGTGTGTAAGGTTGGACTCACTGTGACTAATGTGGCACAACTTGCTGAGAGCTGGTATTACATGATGATAATGATGGAAAGGATACAATAAGCCATAGTAATGCAGACACACACATTATCTATCACAAACATGTATGGATGTATAGACATGTTCATATCAGCTACCTTGCTGAATCAGTAAGCCACTGAAAACTGTGGCCTTCAGTGTGCATTTCTGTGCTGCTTGTGTTTGCATTCACGTGTTTACCTTGGAGAATCTCAGAAGCCTGTATACGTAGGCTTGCCTGCATCTGTCTCTCAGCATGTATCGTACGTAAGCCAAAAACAGCACATTACCCAGCTTTCATTGCACCCCGAGGAGGGCCCATTCCATTCAACAGTGTTATTAGCGGAGCTTCGAGGGATATTTCTGACTGTGTCACTAAGTCTCTGCTGACAGACAGAAAAACATCCTCATATACCCAAGGAGTGTAGTTGATGATCCTCTGTTCTAAATTGAAATGGTCTTTAAAGCTCACAAGTCAAATTAATTGAGAAATATGTTGCTGTGATACTACCATTGTATATTGTGTAAGCTTGAATCAACACATTTTTCTATGAATGCACTTGTGTATATTTACAACATTTAAACAATCTGGTACAGGTTGAATTTGCATATGATAGTCTACATAATATATTATTACTTTCTAGTGCAGTGGTTCTCAACCTCAGGTCTGGGGACCACCAGGAGTCAGGAGAAAAGTTGGGAATATTTTATTGACTAGAAGTTAGCCAACAAGAATGACTCTTTTGTTTATCTCTTCACTGTTAATCAGCAAATCTGCAAATCAACAAACACAATTATGGAAGAAAAAAATCTTATCAGACTGGAATCCCTGAGACTACATCTTTTCAAATACGGATCTGCAGCCTGATGTGTATCAATTTGAGGGTCCTTGACACCAAAAAGGTTGAGAACCACTGCTCTAGTGTATAAGCCTATAACACTAATTTGTGACCTGTAGTGTAATGTATAAATGTGATTATTTGTTTTTATAAATATATCTTTATTTATATGATTTATTTGTGCTTTGAGATTTTTTTGTTAGCGTTCTTTAAAATGCAAATGTGAGACATATTTACAGCCAAATAAAATAACCTGAATGAAAAAGACAAGGGACAACATGATGGATTTCCTTCTGCAGCACAACCAACCTGGGAAAACAAGATTTCCAGGGTACGTGTCTGTTAGAGTGATACTGTCTGTTAAAGTACTACATATGAGGATGTGTGCAGTTTGTTCTGAGTGTCTGCTGAATGGACTCTATCAAAGCCCCCAGTTGTCCTTTTGAGAGTTCACTCAAGCAGAGCCACACTGTCAGTATAAGCCAGGTAAACCGGGGAGGTGGGGTCGATTTTGTTATTGGTATTTCTTTTCTGCTTGACCTTTCTATAACCTGAGCACTCAGACAAGTCCCAGTTGTCTTATATGGTTGAATTGACCAGAGCAATGACGCTTGGAAAACTACTGTTGTGGGTTCAATTCTCAGGCCAGTGAAAGGAGCTTTGAAGGAACAATCCATTCTGTTATATGAGGCTTACATTGAAAGAACAAACAAGGCTTTTTAGGTGATTTCTATCAAACATCTTAACTCCCTTGCTACAAAGTTGCTGCAGAGCCGTCAAGTGACCATCACTCACAGCCAAATTCAACCTTTTCTTTCCCCTGGACTGTTGTTGGGGGTCTAACAATCCTGAAATGATTTCCCCATGTGATCAATGTGTATGCAGTGTTACACTGTAACACTGTCTGCTAGAGTGATACTGAGTCTGGTAGGGTTTTGTCTGGCTTGTGTTCTTTTGGTGACCTTATAGTCAGACTCCCAGTTGTCATATTAAATTCTTCACCAGACCATAACAGGAAGCTGCTGATGGTAGATTAACATTATTGAGCTAAGTCTCCTCTTAGAAACGTTCCCCACCATGTATCATTCAGTGTAAAAACAATTTTGAAAGTTCTACCCAACTACAAGTTTTTTCCTGAGTCTTGGGTTTCTAGACTCTAGTTAATATTAATACCACATGACAGAAATGTGCCTTTACACATTACAATACGGGCGGCTGTGGCTCAGAGGCAGAGCGGGTCGTTCCTTAATCGAAAGGTTGTGGGTTCGATCCCCTGGTCCTGGTGCCACATGTCGAAGTATCCTTGAGCAAGATACTGAACCCCAAATTGCTCCCGATGCCGTGCATCGGTGTGTGAATGTGTATGAATGTTAGTTTCTGTTCGATGGACTTTGCCATCACTGAGTGAATGTGTGTGAAAGGGTGAATGTGGCACGTAGTGTAAAAGCGCTTTGAGTGGTCGGAAGACTAGAAAGGCGCTATACAAGTACAGGTCCATTTACCAATACAGCCACACAGTTTTAATCCTTTATTTTCATTAAAAAAAACATATTATTATTTAAAGTTATTTATGGACTTATTTTTTCAGCAATACCCATTCCGTATATTCTGCAATTATCTCTCTATAGAGTTTTCATTGTTAGTGGTGGGGTCCGCCATTCAAGTTGGCTCCCTAAACACAAAGAATTCACTGGAAATGATGCATGTATTTAATTCAGCATTACTGTTTTTAATTTTATCTAATTTATATAAGCCTCATTGTTCACTCTCCTAATGTTGCTTTAGAGGTCTATCAAGTTACTGCAAATGTATACCAACACATCCTACTGCTGCTGCTTCACATTAAAAGCATTCAACTGGTGAATCGCAGGGTGTTTTTTTAGTGTGAAGCTGTCACAAGAAATGCCCCGTATTTTAGAGGTTAGCACTGAAAGCAACCATTATTTAAAAATGAACCTACAAAACAAGCAAAGGTGATAACTTTCTTGAATTCTGTTTCACATTTGGGCCGAAGAAAGACAGAATTTACATCTATGTATGTGTTTTGTGAGTAGACTGTACAAACTTCATTGGTAAACAGCATCCTTCAATCATTACACCTTACAAGTGTGCTTAAAGTAATATACTCACATGCAATCCGGACGTGTGCCTTGCGGCTTTTGGTGGTTCCAGCAGAGCTCCAGGCCACGCACTGACACCAGTAATCTTCAGGACCAAATAGCTCCTCAACCTGCTGTCGTGTAATTTCTATACTGGCTTCTCTCACCACCAGACCTGCAAAGAAGAAAAAAAGCACTGTTTAATCATTTGCAATATTAGTGAGATTGAGATTTTAGCTTAAGAGTCTCAAGTTCCAGTTTCTCAGTGAGCCACTGATATTCAAGAAAAAAATCAAGCTAAAATCTATTTAAGCTTCTACTCTGGTGATATGGCTTTTATGTTAGCTTAAGAAGCAAACGCCAAAGCGGTGCATAGAAAATATCTTAGCAAGTAAATAGAAGCAGGGGATAATCATACAATGTCTGCTGCTGTTTACAAACCCAGGTCATTTTACTGAGTAGATTCAGAATGGATTTAATGTAAACTTTGTTAGATTGTTCCTTTGCACTTCTACCACTTATCTCACTCTGCTCTCCAATTCCCTCTTTTCTCTGCTGTTTGTGAAAGCAGCTCCATGTGAAGAATAAGTGTGAGGTTTAAATAGCTGCAACCCACTGATAGGACTGTGAGGGAGCAGAGATAGAGGAGGTCTGCAGTGGAAAGTAGGAGATGAGGAGCGAGGAATAAACTCAGGATGAAAATATGCAAGGCATAGGAGAGGGACAAGTAGAACACGGGGGAAAAGATATATTGAGAATATTGTGGAAATGTATGACAAACTAAAGGAATAATTAAGGAAAAATAAGTTGAAATAGAATAAAGAAAGAGAAGAGGAACATTAGAAAAAGGGTAGACTGTTTTAATAACACACAATTGAGAGCATCGTGACAGAGGCACAGTGAGAGGAAGTTAGAGGATGACAGAGAAAGAGGTGGGAGAGGGCAATGAAATGTGAAACGAAAAGGGAAAGGAGATAAAAATGGGTTTTAGGTAAAAGTATGTGGGGACTGGGGAGTAGACGGGCAAATGCTCTGAGAAAAGATCTTGGCAGTTTATTTCAGGTTCAGCGGCGTTACAAAGACCCAAGCAACAATCTCTATGGGTCTCCACAAATCTGACTTGGGCCTATTACTTACGAAGCCTCTCAGTAAGTTCTTGCCACCAGAGAAATTGAGAGACGGTTACAGTAAGCATGCCAGCATAAAGGCAAAGGGGACAGAGAGGAGGCAAAAAGTAAAATCCAGTGAGCAGGATTGTGGCAGACCAAAGGCCATTAATGGCTGGAAACAGTATTAAAGAGAAACCCATGAGGGCAAAGAGCAAGAAAGGCAGCAAAAGCTTTCATGAAAGCTATCTGGGAGATAGGGGGACATGACTTTTGAGTTAGAAAAAAAAAAAAGATTGATAAAGTAAAGGGGAACTTGGCAATTCAAATGGCACTGATGGCACAGAGACCAACAAGGAAAGCAATGAAGAAAGTAAAAAGCTTGTGGAAGGTACTGCTGGCACAACAAGGGATAACAGCCAGTGAGGGGGAGAAAACTATAAGGGCAAAGAGCAAAGATGGTATAAAAACTAGTGTCGAATACCAGCGCTTGAGCAAACAAGCAAACAAGGGAGATTGTTATGGCTTCACAGCTTAAAATGAAAGCGCAAGGGACATAGCAAGAGAGCTAGATACTAAGAAAATGGCAGCTAAAGAGGCAATTATAACTAGCAAGCAAAGGACTAAAGCTGAACAACTAGTAGGCAAACAGTTGCACAAACACAGTGTGGACAAAAGGGACAAAAAGGATAGGTAGGAGGTGGAGACCAGTGAGCATGCTACTGCCGAAGTAATGAGGAAGGTATAGCAGTTACACTGAATGGTTCAAATGAGCCAGACAGCTAGTTATGGCAAATGGACTCAAACAAATGCAAAGAAAGCATATGGAATGGTACATGAGTGAGGCCATGGGACTTCAGGACACAGCAAGAGATAGGGAGCAAGCTTGTGTTGAAGACAAATAAAGGAAAAACACATGCACATTTACACCTTTTGCATCACTGCGTACATGGCTTATTAAGCTAAGCAAAAACTATTAGTAGGACATTATCATTAAATCACTGGAGCAGTTCAAGGTTTAGCCGATATTTACGTTGCATACTTTGCATTGGAAACAAGAGACATTTATAACATAGAATTAATTAAATAAAGACCCCATCCAGTAAAAATTTGTTTTTTCTTTCGGTTCCTAAAGTCAGATGTTGGATCAGTCAACCTGGTTCAATCTGCAACCTATACAAGTTTGATTCTGCAACTTGGAGCCATTAGTCCACACACACTGAGAATGAACTTAACAGTGAACTACGAGACTTCTTGTGTCCAGCAGGAAAACAAAACTCACAAAATCCACAGAACATGAATATTCATAGATTCTGGACATTTTTAATTAGGTAGTAGAAGTAGATGCATTTTTAATTATTATAATTTGAAAGTTATACTTTTTTGGCAGAACAAAACCATATCAGACACACATTATTGTGTCTTAATTTGTCTAATTCTTTCTTAATACATGTCTGGGGGGGATCTATAATACTAATACTGTGTATTTTTTGCAATAAATAAATGATAATGAATCAGAAAATAAGAAATCTAAAAGTAAGAAGGAAAGAGATGGCATATTCCAGTTAATTCCAGAAAACAGTCAAAACTACTGTACAGATATCAGTCTGCACTCTCACCTGCTCTGCACAGTTTATTGCTTGGAGAATAGTGCTGCACCTCAAGTACTCTGACTGAAAAAACTGCAGCTGACTTGCATTGCAGAAGAGGATGCTTTCTCCCTGCAGATGACTGAAGAAAGCTATGCCAGATTAGTTTTAGTAGCTTTGTGTTTCACCTACTGCATGTAGCATGCCTTAGTGAATATAATGTAAACTACCTCAAGTTTTACACCTCACCCTTGAATTAAAGTTTTTTAATCTGATATGTTGTTAGGAAGTGGTTTCAATAAAAGTACGGCTAACAGTTCTAAAGTAAAGAATTATTACATATCAATATTGAGATGAGCCTGGGATGCTAACTATGAACCCAAAGCAGTGTTGGGTGATGTCGCTGATCTTGTTTAGACAGCCATCCGTCCCAATTTAACAATTCTAACTACATTCTTTCATATATAAATTATAATTATGCCAGCATGTAGTGTGATTTACAGTTCAACCCTGTATGTATGGCCATAAATGTATTTGCTCTTTTAATGAGTGAGATGATTTAAAAAAGAATGCTGGAAGACGCTAGAATCACTCAAGAGTTAGGGATCAGTGAGTGAATAAGGCTGTAAACAGGAAGTGTGTTGCAAGATGCTGCATGTAATGAAAAAGGGAGATATTAGTTAGAGGACAACATAGAGCAGAGAAGGTTACAGAGACATAAGAAAACAGAAAGAGGGAAAACAAAACAAGAACAGAACATATAGTGAGTGAAACAGAGAGCATCAGGGAGAGCTGAGTTGGTTTCACAGCGGGGGAAATCAATGGTTGTAATGATGAAATGTGTTCAATTTCTGAGCGAAGCTGAAGGCTGGAGCTAAAAAGATATACCAATCCGACACTGCTGGCTTAGTGTGCAAGGAAGGCCAAAAGGAGTTGTCAAAGAGTCTGCATACACTCAACTGCCAGCTTGAGAAAACTGTTCAGCAATCAGAACCCTGATATTCTTAAACAATGCCTAAATGGGATATCCTGTTTTCCACTAGATTTGAGAGAAACATGATTTCTTGGCCCTTTATAACCGAGTTTTATGTGTGAAAAAACCTCCAAGATGGAAGTAACGCGGTGAGCAGAGATGAAACAGAACATCGTCCCTCTTGGCGATGCATCCCTGTATTCAAAGTAGGTGGTAGCTTCAGACACATTCACATAGAGAAAATCCTCACTGCAATGTTAATCCCAATGCTCCGACCAAAAAAAAAAGAACCAACCAGAACACAAGTGAGAATTTGGGATTAGACATTAAATGTTAGAAGTTATTGAGGTAACATAAACTTATCCTCCTTTGTGGAGATATACATTTGTTTTTCCCCCACTGTGTTCACATGAAAATGACTTTAATTTGATGTCAGTTGGAATTTAACATATTTAAATATAAGGTTTCCTCCAGTGTCATATGTGTGTGTTTTCTTGTCAGCTGGTAACTAAAAGTGAGGGGGAAAATGATATATACCACAAGCATAGCAAACTGTTTGCAACAGGTCACAAATTTACACCAATCTCCACCGTCCATGAAAGAAAGTCTCTTGTTTTCAATAAAGAAAAAAAAGTGGGAAAAGACAAAGAAGATAAATGAAGTCATGCTGCTCAAATCGGCAAAGCCCCAGTTGTTTCCATTGTTTGTTAATGCAAAGCTCACAAAACTAATGTTGCTGGACAGAAAGCGACTGAATTACCTGAGGCTTATAAAGTCCCTGATCACTCACTGTGTTATTTTGTTTAGATACAGTGCTTAGAGCATTCACGTCATTCGGTTATGAGAAGACAAGCACGAAATTCTGGGTCTCTGTAGCATGACAGTACTTCTTCACATCAACAAAACCACTGCTGTCAGCTGGGGGAGGTGAGGGGAAGGAAGTGGATGAAAAATGGAAGACAAGTATCAAGACAAGTGGATACTGTCACAAACATTTCTATCAATCACAAAACTGCGCACAAGCCCTGAATATTTCTCTTAGTCCTAAACTGTCAGTTCTTATAATAAAGTTTACTTGTCAGCTGGGGAGTAAAAGTACAAGAGTGGGTGAATGTGCTTTGTCAGGTCTGGACTTTTTTATTTGACAAATGGGAGTAAACACGCACAAAAAATAGTTTGGGCAGGTTTTCAGTATAGAGATATGAGATAAATTTACTATCCATGTGGTATTGCTGTTTCAAATACTTTCCGACAAATACTGTACATCTTACTAAACGTAATGAGGAGGAACATTCAACTGCATGTTTCCTTTTTGCAGAAAAAAATTAAAAGCAGAAAGTAGCTCTGAAAAACTGACAGAACAGAAATGTCCTGATAATAACCTCATGTTGTTTGCCCTAACTCCAGTGGCAGCAGAGTTACCACATCCACAATACCTACAATTAACCTACTTGGTAACTTGATATCATAACCAATAAGAACTGATGGCTTAAGACTGCATAAGACC